TATCTAGTGACAAGAGATTCATTGATTTCTTTTCGAAAATACTTGATATCTATTTTGATAGGCATCCTATCAACGGCGATTTATGATAGTGACTTTTTTTGTTTGTGTTATATCTATAGAATTTTACATTTATTGAATAACTTAATGATGGCACATAGTTTTAATGTCCTTGCTTAATAAATTTAGTAATATATGAGGATTATCATAGCCATATAATTGAACCATATAAGTATATATGTCTCGATAATAAAACAATCAATGAATATTTAATAATTAAATTCATTCAAAGAGTAAATGTGCATATAATAATAAAGAAAACTTTTGTGCATTTACTTTGTTTTTTTTTCCATTAAATACGAACAACACGAATGTGTTTTATCTAATAAGCAGAAAAATATCTAAATCATTTTCTAAATAAAACAGAGAGAATTACTGTTAAACGTTTTCGATGTAAACAATAAGGTGAAGTGTATATATACTCGTGTGTTTTCTCGTTCGTTATTTTCTATGCGTATGGCTGACAGTATGAACTTTATTGATGTCACTGTAGTTTAAGACTAATCGATTTAATGTACGAATGAATAAAAATTGTTCAGATATCTGATCGTTTATCAGCATCGAAAATATTACAGCAGTTAATTTTCAGACAGTAGCTCGATCAATACTGGTTGGGATAGGATGAGAAAATTGCATGAAGAATCTACATAATACAAGTTGAACTAAACTTTGTTGATTATTTTTAGTAAACTTCTTTCACAATAATCGGAATGCTAGGTGTATTTGGCATATTTATGACGGTTTCTTTTTCAAGCTCAATCTATTATTAAAAATAAAAAAGTAAATTGCTAACTTAATTATCAGATCTATATAATAGTCATATCGTCTTGTAACAGCTGTTGGTGCATGCAATAACACAGTTTGTTTTTCAACAGTTTCATAAAGTACGCCAGATAATAATAAATGACAGCAAATAAGTCGATCACATTCGTTTGGCTTATTACAACGAACTTTATAAATGAATTCAACAATAAATAATTGATTTATATCAGAGTCCTGCAGTATAACCTCATGTAAAAAAAAATAGCGGACTCCAAAACTTCATAATATTTCAAGACTGAAGTCTCTGTTGTTTCCCTCTCAATATCAAGATGAAATTATCATTGTAACGAGTTCTCTTTTTTCTTTGCATTGAATCGATTGCAGAGAAACATTTTAGAATACAACTATTGCACGATAACAGCTATAAACATTTTTTTTCGATGTTCGGCGTGTTTCGAAAGACATGTGACAAGCTCATCACCATGATTTGAAATTTCACATTATCTCTATTCGACAATGATTAGAAAGATTCGAAAACCAATCTGATTTACAAACATATTTATTAATAGTGCACCATGTCTTACCTATATTCTTTCAAGAGTCATGAAAAGACAAATACATTCATCGAGTTTCTTTTTTCATGATCCAGTATAAAAGACAAATTTATGGGATTCTATGCATGCGGCTGACCGTTCTTGATATCTTTATGTTGTGTACACATGTGATCTAGAGACGACTGAGAGAATACGAATTTGGTTAATAACCGACGTTTCAGGAGCACACACAATATTTGCATTGTAAGAAAATAAGAATTAGTAAAATTGCTTGTTTTTTGTCGAAGAGAAGACGTATGCCGATGAATACGTCTTTGAGACATAAGAAAATTGTGTTGCACGATCAGCTCATCAAAAATTGACCCGATTATCTTTGAAAGTGGCGGCGTGCGTGACCGTACTAGAATAAATTTGTGCTTTTTCGCTCTACCAACAGTACATGTTCATATTTATTTTATTATGTTCACCTTCGTTCTTTATTTATATTGAATTTTAGTTGACAGTAATAGACAATACTGAATTACATTTTGATGTTGCAACGCATCACTCCAGTTTTAGTCATATACTGTCTCAAATTAATCCTTTATCTAACTTCGTAACGTCACTCTATAGGTAGTTTTTGTTTTTGTTTTTATAGTATAAACTAAGTCTTCTCATTACTGTTAGAGCATTGGACACATGTTAAAGTACTTTTAAATACAATATTTACAAGTATGGAAAAAAGTGTTAGTGAAATCTCAGCAGGAGTAAAATTTGAAACACAATGAAGTTGCTGTCATTGTAAAAAAGACGAGAATCCATCAAAATATGTTTCCGTTTATGAGTTGCCACAGACTGTTAATGTCCCTCGGTAAAAAAAGATGTTATTACAATATATTTTAATCATCATGAAAGAAGAGCAAAAAACAACAGCTATTTTAAAGTTAGTCATGTTTCATACTAATACTGCATTACATTAGTATCGCGGCATGTTCACCATGATCAATGAGGAGGGAGTGGCCATACTATCAGATACTTAGATGTCTTTCACGGTTTGTGAAGGGTTCTTGTTGATGTGTTTGCTACGCCTATGGAAATGAAGGCGAGGAAGTCAGTATATAGCTATGTAACAAAATATTTTTTTAATTTGAACTCTAATTTTCTCAGTTTGTATATGAAATGCAATCAAGTTCAATAATATCAAATGTGATAGCGCATGAAAAGCGCTACAACGTGAATATTTACTTTCTATCAATAATTCTTTGTTGAAGATACGGCTTATCACAAACAGTTTAACTTTTTGCTGTTGCTTGACTACTGCTGTGCGTCCACTAAGCGAGGAAGGCAAATTTCTATCCCGATACTTCAACATTCCTGTTAGGTCGTGTTTCGCAAAAATGTCAGCCATTTGTGACTACTTTTTAAAGATGGAAAACGAAGCAGTATGTGTATGTAGGATCAATACTATCCGTACGTTATGTCATAGACCCAAGCGATGGTTTTTAGATCAACACACAAGATACCTTCCATAGGGTATGTAAATATTTCCGAAGGAATCTTCGTTTTTCGAAAAATATAAGAGTATAGAACGACTACGATGTAAAAAATCTTTTATTAAAGAATGATACTGTTATGATAAATAAAATATTTATTTTTATGTTTATGATACATATGTCTAAAAAGCTACTGTAGTTGGATGTTTTGATTTTTCTCTTGTATATGATAAATCTGAGTGATTGTTTGAATTAGTGGACTAACAGTTGATTCTTTACTGCTAATATCCAAAATTGAAGAAACGTTGACCATTTTCTGTAGCATTCCAACCATCATCATCTTGATAATCGTTTGTTTGGTTGCCAACATACGCATTGTTTCCTTAACATTAAAAATCTAAGTTGATTCTTTCTGAAGAATATCTATGACAAATCATTTAATATTATTCAGACAGGATGCTATATTCTTAAGATTATATAAACAACTGATCAATCGGATTCACCTCTGGCTTAAACAATAGCCTCATTTTCTTTAGGGACCTCCTGATTAGGATCTTTCAATTTATTTAAAAAGATAAAATATGCGTGTGATTCTTTGATAAAACACAAATCTAATATGAATGACGATATGAAGAGTTGTTCTATTAATGCCATAAAGAATACTTTTCTAGAGTTGATAGCTCAGAAAAATTTTTCAAAAGTTAGAACTGTGGTAATCTAATATATATCTATTTTAAATCGATCAGCTCGCATCTGTTTTTCTTTTATATAATTGTTTAAATGAATCAAAATTTCTATTTTGCAAAAACTCTGTCTATATTCGATTGAAAAACCTTATTATTTCAAAATGAATTTTCTTTCACAACAATTTTATAAAAAGCCGTGTATATATGATTGACATGATAATTGCATTATGTTAAGGTATGGTACATAGCGAATACCAGAGATACACATGACAGTTTTTTTCACGTTTCTTATTGTTCAATCTTTGTATTTGTATTTCCAATACCGAGTTAGTCATTCTATCCCTTCTTTTTACTATACGATTTTGATTATCAGTAACGAGAGAATAAACTTAGAGAAGAGAATTTGTAACAAAGGCATTTTTAACTAATTAGAATTTATATATTTTTCTTACGCATATTTATTTCTTATTTTACCATCTTCGATCGTATTCAAAACGTTTTATTAAATGGAGGAAAAATTGAATTTTTCGTTATTTGTAAATTGATTTGCCTTAGTGTGTGGCTTGTTTTTTTTAAATTATAAAAGTCGAAATGT